TTTCTAATTGTTGTAGATGCTGTGTTAATTTTGGTTCTTTCTTCTTTTTGGATGTGTGCATTTATCGCAATACATTATCCTCTCAGTACCGCTTTTACTGTGTCCCAAAGATTTTGGTATGTTGTGTTTTCATTCTCATTTGTTTCTAGGAACTTTGTGACTTCATGTTTAATTTCTTCTACTACCCAGTCACTTTTCAACAGGGTGTTATTCAGTTTCCATGTATTTGACTTGATTTCCTTGGTCTTCCTATTGTTGATTTCTAATTTGATTAGTACTGGCATTCCTGATCATTTTTTATTGCAATTAGCTTGGTATATATTTTTTTCCATCCTTTGACTTTCAATCTGTTTTTGTCTCTATGTGTGAGATATGTCTCTTGCAGACAGCAGAAGGATCTTGTTTTCTTATCCACTCTCCATCTCTTAACAGGTGCATTTAATCCATTTACATTCAGTGTAATTATCGACAGGTATGGATTAATTGCTGCCAGTTTGTTTTTTTGTGGTGTTGCTGCTTTCTTTGTTCTGTGTGTCTTCTTTTGTTGAGTTCAAGGTTTTTGTGTTCTTTCTTGTGAGTTTCTTCATAGTTTTAATGTTTCTGTGTTCTTCTTAGATTTTCATTTTTTAGTATGTTGTGAAATGTTAATTTTCTTTGAGGTTGCCTGATAGTCCATTAACTTTTCTCTCTATTTAGTGCAGTTTATTTTATCCTGTAATCTACCTGACCTTCTCACCATCTGGATCTCTGTTCCTACATGTTTACCGTCTTTTAAATTGTAATTGTTTTGATCATAGACTGACCTCCTAGATTCTCTGAGTTTGTTCTTATAGTTTTGTTCTGTTCTCGACTCTTCCTTCTGTCGATTTAATTATTGAGGTGCTGCCACGTATGTCAATCTCTGGTTGTTGTGTGTTCTTGTTGGTTCTCAGTCCCCAGAACTCCATTTAGGATATTTTGTATTGCAAGGTTGGCTTTGGCAAAATCCCTTCATTTCTGTTCATCCTGGAATATTTTTATTATACTGTTGTATTTCATTGATAGCTTTGCTGGATAAAGGATTCTTGCTTGGCAGTTTTTTCCTTTCATGGTTTTATATTGCCTTTTTGCTTGCATGGTTTCTGCTGAGAGATCCGAGCTTAATCTGACTTGCTTGTTTTGTATGTAACACTTCTGTTTTCCCTAGCTGCTTTCAGGTGTGTCTCCTTATCTTTGATTTTGGAGAGCTTGATTATGATATGTCTCGGTGATTTTCTTTTGGGATCTATCCTTCCTGGGGTTTGCTGAGCTTCTTGAATGTTTATCTTTTCACTTTTCAGGATGTTAGAGAGTCTCTAATTTTCTACTAGCAGTTCTTCAACTATTTCCTCTGTAGACTTGTGTGATTCTTCTTGTTCTGGAATGCCGATAATTGTTCAATTATTCTTCTTCATGTTGTCCAACATGAATCTTAAGACTTTCTTCAGAATTTTTTATATTGGTATTGAGAGATTTGTCTTCCAGTTCACTGGTTCTGCCTTCCATCTCATTTATTCTACTCCTTTGTCCTTTCAGAGTATTGTCTATTTCTGATATTTTATTATTGATCATTTGAACCTCTTTCTGTAGGTTTTGAATTGTTTCCAATGCTGTATCTATCTTATTTGATTGTTCCTGTAGCGCTTTCCTGACTTCTTCCTTATTTTTCTCAACTCCATTGTTAAGTGTTTTGAAACATTTTATAATCATTTTTCTGAATTCCTTCTCA